TGAGTATAGGTGCAGATACAAGTGGTTTTCTGGTCTGTTCTTTGGTCAAAATTTTTCAAATATGTATAAAAATTCAAAGTGTATGATTTTTTATAAGATGGTTGATATTCACACCTGACTTGGTCGATATTGGTGAGGGAGGGTGTGTGCATCAAGAAAAAAACAAAAACAAAAAAAACGCGGTTGTTCTACGGTTAACACGGTAGTAATGTCACAGGGGATTCCGTGGTAGTAGAACCGTGGACTTCGGTAAGATTATTGATAAACGTAGTAGCATAACCATGCTCAAAGTATCGCATTACTGTGCTCACAGTAATATTACGGCGGAAACGGCAACATAACAGTGCTCATCATTAAAATCATCAAAACCACCGGTTCTACTACCGAGGAATCCCGTGTGACATTACTACCGTGGTAACCGTAGAAAAACCGTGTATTTTATCTCCGTGTGTGTGTGACGAATAAATACACCATTTTTCCTAGTCATACTTTGATCAAACTCACAATCAGTCATAGGTCCCTGAGAAGTAAGTCTTTTAGGGCAATTTATCTCAGCTGTATAATCTCTTTAAACTCACCAGGAATGCTTTTAAGTGTGTGCTGAATTTTTAGTGCGTACTTAATTTTGCGATTACACTGGCTTTCATTTTATTGCTGCGCTAGAGTGGACCAAGCGTGAATGAATACGCATAGGATTAGGTTAGAGTTCGTGACCAAGTTGTAAAGCCGATCTACTTGACAGGACCAACTGGGAACGCCTTAAAGTAGGCCGGTTTAATACGTCACAAAAACGAAGATTATGTTCAATGAATAGATCGATTTTTAATAAAACTGTATAACATCAAGTTTATGAGAGTGATGGTAAAACTATGCTTTTTTCTCAGAATTGTTTTGACGCATATCGTGCCTTTATTTTATTGCTGGCTTAACCAATTAAAAGCTTTTAGACTTGAAGTAAAATAAACGCTTGGGTCGGTTTAACTATACCAATATCCACTTAAATTTTGAGGTGTGTATCACTGTCATCGAGTCAGATTTGAGGTATTGATGAAATGAATACAAAATAAGCCACGTTCGGGCACCTGATAGGATAGATTCAAGCGACCCAACGCAATGTTGGTACGCGCTACAAGGCTTTTGATTATTTTTGTTCAAAAGTCCTGCTGGGATCAAAATTTGGTGGGTTTGATCAACAAATACGAATAATTGTTTCTATGAACGTCTTTTTTCAAATTTATCTCAAAATTTTTTTGTTAATTTTATTGGTTATTTTAGTTATATACCAATACCACAAAAATTTGAGGTAAAAAATCGTTTAGTTTTCTCGTAAAAAATTAAAAAATACAATGAAATTCGGCAACAAGTGATGCAGTTAAATTAATCCTGGCCAATGTCGTTCAGTCGTAGACGAGGCCTAAAAATTTCGGCCTGCTGGCCAAATAGCTTTTAAAAATTTGTAACTGGAGCTAGAACATTGGAACCACCTCAGAAGCTCAAGATAATTTCGTCGGGTCATTGCGATACCCGAACGGGACTCTACATCACCGTCTCCATTCAAGTGCTAAGTTCTCCATAATGCCGTGTTGAGGAAGAACGCCGTATAAACATTCGTTAGCTGCCAAATTTTCCCCAATGAAATTTCTATTTTCAAGGAAAATTGTCGATATTTTTCCTCAAAAATGTCAGACTTTTTAGATTAAAATACAAACAAAATTACCTGAGAAATTGGAAGAAAAATATTCACAAATTTTCTTGGAAATTAGTGATTTGTCAAAGGATATTTGGCAACGCCTGAAGGCTCATACGGCGTTTTTCCTTAGCGTAGCAGCGGATGCCAATGGCAAATTCACTCATTGAGCTTCTCTTAATTAAATCGTCAACTTGTAACGTGAATGGACTGCTCGCTGAGCCCGCGTCGGAATTCTTCCTCGACAAAAGGGAAGAATGCTCTGGGAGTGACTTGCAATGAATCGAAGAACGCAAAGACTCCGATGGGAAGGTGCGGTGAAAAACCAGAGAGCATACCCACGTGGATCGTATCGAGGATTCGCGCTGTTTTATGTAATTTTCGCCCAAAAAGAACAATGCCTCCGGTTGGCAGTTAATGTCTGCATCTTGAGGTCCGAGGAGTTGCGATTTTCGTTTTTTGCGAGGTTCCGTTTGGTTATGAAATCGACAAGTGCGCGCGTCTCGACTTCGTGAGCATTTTCGGAAGGAGTTTTACGGTTGAATAACGCGCAGTTTGCTTATCGTTTTTTGAGGAGAGCCGTTTTTGAAGGCGGTTTTATTCGTTCATGATACATCGATCAATTCGTGCTTAAATGTCACTGTAAATGATTGCTAACCTTTAGAATTTTTTGTCTTAATTTGGACCAAAAAGGATTAATGGCCGAAGTATTTCTTTTGCAATGTTCAAATAATTCCCATCATTATTTATTTCGATGGCGGAAATGCGACACTAAGTATCTCCATTGCGGTGTTTCAAAATCTCCGCTCATAGCTTATTTTTTCGAAGAGGAGTAAGTTAGCTTTATCGCTTGAAATGTATACAGAATATTCTGTTATCGGAGGAGAAAAATCAGGGAAGTTTTCAAGAAATCACGTTGACTATTTTTTAAAAGAGGCTATCAATTTTTTTTTTTTTTTTTTTTTTTTAACTCTCCAAATTAATCCTCAGAAATTTTCTGTAAATATTTTTGAATAAACGAAGAAAATGTACACAAGTTCAAGAAAAATGCGCGTCAGCTTTCTTTTAAGAAAACAAAATATGAGCGAAGACTTGCATAGCTTGAACGTGAGATACGAATTTCTTGATGTTAGCAATTGAAACGAATCAAAATGGGTTCACATGGGGACAGGGGGTGCTTATCGATGGCTGAAGTGCGCAATCACGCATCTCTGTTTGTGACGTTGCAGACTTCCGCTCTTGCTTTATTTTTTCTTTGGAAAACAAGTCAACCTCATTTCTTGAAAATTTCTTTGATTTTCTTTCTCTATTAGCAGAATATTTTGAAAAGATTTCGAACTACACGGTTGACTTGTTTCTCTTCAAAATAATAAAATAGGAGCAGGGATTTTTAAACACCGCAATAAAGATACGTGGTTTCGCACTTTAGGCATCGTTATACTTCTATGGACACGCACACACATAATTTGAAGTGTCTCATAAAGTCGCTTTGAGCATTTTTGAAGTAATAGCTTTGAATTTGGGCCTCAATTTTTGGACTGTTGAAAAATCAAGCTAATCAAGGACCACGTAATGAATTTCAGTGGCCCTTTGGCAAGCGGTGTGTAAAAATCCAACTAAATGAAACTCGCCCGTCACACAGTAGCGGACCTTCGGATCTCCTTGAGGCTTTCTGTTTGATATCCAATCGAAAAAGAAGTCATTGTCGGCGATCAAATCCATCTCAAGTTCGAGCCCCGGGGCTGATTCATATTTGAGCCGCATCGTCACCAAATTTCTAGGATGGTCGAATTTACCGCCGAAGCAAGGGAAAAAATGTATATTTTTCTATTCATTATGGCAATCTTGTAGCAGAGTGCGTGACCCCTTTGAAACGATGAATGCCCTACCGTGCTGACCTCATACGCTTGCCAGTAATCGTGCTGTACTTGTCAAATAACGTAAAAGCAATTCAGTTCAAGTGTAAACCGTGGGTCGAGGAATGTGTGATTGTATCTGAGCGTACGTATGAACATACTCGACGGTTCAAGTAGTCGAGAGACTGCAGAAAAAAATGGGTCGAGAATAGGGTGGTAAATTTTCGAGTCTGAGTGCGGCATTGCCGGACAACATTCTCGATGGTTTTCGCAAGGGGGAATATCCGATACCAAGTGGTCCTTACTGTTTGAACTCGACTAACAACCAGAGTAAAGATCAGAGAGTTGTAAGATCATTCATTGTTGGAGCAATGATCACGCTCAAAGCAATTTTTCTGGTCAGGCATTGACAGAGATGGGAAAATCAGTCAGAAAGTAACTGCTGTAAATAAATGCTACTACCATTACCATATGTTACTTTTTCCGTGAAAACGATACACATTTTAGTTTAAAATTGGAATAAATATTGTTGGAAGAATACTGATTGACATATTGCAGGTACCTCATAGTCCAAACTTTCTCACTGCTTTGATTCCCATGAAAAAACAAAGATTAAGTGGTTATTTTCTGTATTTAAATGCAACCCTAAATGCATGGACACCTGAAAATTACGAACACGATTGGTAAGATTATTTTACTGTTTGAAACATTTAATGGCTCGAAGAACATACGTAACTTCCGGTGAAATGCAGTGTTTTCTTCTAATTGCATCTTACAACCCTATGAATAACGTAATGTCCATAATTCAACCAGAATGTACTCGTGCAATTTCATATAAAGATATTGATTTTTTTTTTTTTTGAAAAGTAAAAATTTGAAAAATAAAACATGAAAGGACAAAGTTGGGGTACTTCTGGGTCCAACTATGAATGTAATTAAACTTTTCGACTAAAAACAGAAGAGAATGAGCAACCAAGGCTAAAGCTGAAGACAAACAAACAAAATGCCTGGGACGTTTGCATTTCAGCCATTTTTTAAGCTTTGGTTGCCCATTTTCTCACTGAAAAAAAGAATCATAAATTTGCAGCCAAGAAGTATGTTTCCTTAAATCAAAAATATAAACTACTTTTTTGGTTAACCCAATCATTATTTTTCTTGTGTCAAATTCTTGGCGGGAAATTCAAGGATCAATATGCTTGAGCCAAGCACCTTTTTTCCCCAAGGTAGTGTTTTCAGTCAAATTAGTCGGGCTATTTTCTTTTAGGCCGGATACATGCTCAAATTTCCGTCAGTTTCCGATCAAAATGATGACAAAAATGGTGGTCAAATTTTTGCAAAAATTTGATGGAAGATGAAGCGCACCAGTCACCATTTGATCGAAAATTAATAGAAATTTGAGCGTATATCCAAGCCTTTTATTATCCTTATAATTTTATATATAGGGTGGGCGTAACTACCAGACATAAACAACTCCTAGCAACACCAGAACCATCCCTCCGCGTGGAGTTTTCAGATTCAAGCCGTCTACACAAACACCGAAACATCCAAATTCCAACGTCACAATCCACGAAGCGAAGGGGGATCACTGCGACACACGGGTGGCGGGGCTCACTGTCACAACACTCGCGAGGGGCGCGTGCTTCGGCGTCGGCGTCGGCGGAACTGGGGTCTTCGGCGGCGCCGGGCGGGTCCAAGTCCAACTGAACCGCGGCCGGGCGTCGGGCCCCGGCTCGACGCGGACGCGCGACGCAGCCCAGCGCCACGACCACGTGCTCCACTGCTTTCACTTTCCGGACCCGACGCCACCGCCACCGCCACCGCGGTGGCGCGAAGTCCCGCGCCGCCCTCGGCGCCGTGGAACTCGCTTCACCACCCTCCAGCCACTGGGAAACCGGAAGGGTGCTACTGGAAATACTCTACACACCAAATGGTGGCCATAAGACGTCACTTGTGTTAGTTGGTACTAGGTAGAGTCCCCTCATACTGAGAGTCAAGACAACACCCCCTCATGGAATCACAAACGGGCATAAATATTACAGAAATTGAACGTTTTTCGTAATCTTTGATCGGCCCATTGTCAAATTCCTTTTTCCGTTCCTTCTCTCATTCCGTTTGTTCCTTGCCGAACCCGTAATGCCCTGATCCATTCCGGATTATAATCTTTGCAATCGGTGAAAATGTAATCTTTTTACGTTTTACGTGTACGTCTTTTTACGTGTAATCTTATTCGTTTGTGACCAGAGACAATTTGTGACACTGTGAAGGCCTAAACTACGGGAACCAATCAGAAATGGATTTACATTGTCTTGACTCTCAGTATAAAGGGACTCTACTACTAGGACTCGTGGCCGCTACGCGGCCCAACACCCAGAGGGCGCTATCCGCACCCTCTAAGGCCAGAGTGGCATGAATTGTAAGTAAGAAATGAAAGATTGGAAATCCCTGTAAAATGTTTTATGAAATTTTACGAGACTGTGAAATGTTTCATGAAAGTTCACGAGACAATGAAATATTTCGTATTTTTCAGGGGCTACAGTATGAAACCCGCACACAAAGACACAAAAAAGCAGAAGTTCGCAAGTTTTACATTTTCTGAAACATGAAAAGGAACCGGTATACTTTTCAATGTGTTTCATAAATTTCTAAAATTTCATGAGATATTTCACGTGAAATACCTATCGAGATTTTATTTTTCATGAAATTTTTCGACCCTGTCTGAGGCTCGTTTGAGGCATCCCTCTCTCTAATATTCGATGTGTAAACTTTCAGTGGAACTCACTAATTCGATGTCGTACTACTCAGTAATAATGCTGCTACACGTTAGGAACAAATTTTCTACATTAATTGGTAGATTACGATCAAAATTGATTTTCCAAGACTTAGCTAGTATATCATCGTGCGCATCTAAGTGGCAGATCTGGGCCCCTGAACCACTTAAATTCACTTGCAGTGGAGGGTTTTTTTGCGCAGAGTTGTAGATCCCGAAGTTGCGTTACTTTCGTGACGCTCACTCACTTTGAGCAGCAGCGTTGATTGCTGATAAACGTACGTGTCGAGACGCGTGTCCACAACAAATCCCGACTCACCAGCTCATTGGTAACCAGCCGTTGCATGAAGAGATAAAGCCTTGTCTCTATACACAGGCCGTTTCGTGGAATTAGTCCCAAGAAAAAATCCCACTTACAAAGTCGGGAAAAATATTGATTAACTCAATATTAGTCCTTAAGTAATGGTCTTTGTGCCTCCAAGACCAATTGAGAGAGGAAGAAGAGGTGAAAGCGAATTGTGTGATATATTGCTGTTCCCTCGATTCTCCGTGTTTGCTTGGTTAAAATAATTTACCTAATCGTTAACCGTGCACGGTTATCATCTCAGTACGCTTGATATTTACTAATTCATCTTTCCGCACAAAATTGTCACAGGAACACGAGAGTCCCATCCTTTGGAGACGGTAACTGGGATGAATCCCAGAAGTTTCATTCCTGCGATTCGAAGTTGGGACGAATCTGATGAAAACGACCTGTGGAGACAAGGACAATAGCCCTAGAATGTCATATGTAAACCCAGGCACAATGCTAAAGATTGGACCAGATTCGCATCAAAGTTTTCACGGGAAAATTTGTCTTGACGTAAGATTTTTTTCAGGCACGGTATTGTCTTCGCAGTCGAAATCTTATAAGGCCGCTTTTGTTCCCTTATCTATAGTGATTGGTAGGTTAGTTTTAAGTAACTGGAAAAGTACCTTTCCATTCGTATCGTTTTCGAACCCACTTTTAACGGCCAACAAGTTTCTTTGAAAAAAGGATACTTCAGGAAACTGACGATGCTCTACAGCATCATCGAAATGCCCTTTCAATCCAGCAATATAAGCCAAAATACTCCGGAATGCACGAATAGTTGCCTACCTGATGCATTTTGCTTAATCGGTGAGAGGAAATGTTACGGATTTAATCTCTTAACTGTGCAGTGTACACGTGACGAACGTGACATGGCTTTTTCTAAAAAGCCAGTTCAAGAAAATGGTAGCAAGTCTCCAATCAACTCACTTTCACTTCTCGTGATCGCATATTTGAGTATGCTAATGCCAAAAGTATGTGAGAAAAGAATCAAGAGTAAATACACGGCTAATCTGTTTCCAGAAAAGGATTGGTTCTCGGAACAGCATTGAAGGATCTCGAGACGGATAGTAATTTTCGTTTAAGTTTAGGATTAATTCATTTAATTCCGGTTAAGAATAGTTACCTGTATGCAAGGAGGACAAATACTCATCTTATCCACAATAGAAAGATATAGGACAGTAAATTTTAGATTTTGTAGATGGCGCGCCTTTGAAACTATGAGGATTACTCATCATTACGTCATTCAAATGGACGTATTTCTGCTAAAAGGAACTATCTGCATTGGGTTTGCGTGAGACATAGTTCCTTTTGGCATAAATTCGTTCAAATTACGTTTCAAGTCGATTGACTCCCTACTTACTTCCTTCGATCGCGGATTAAAGGCGTCAGATATCATTGAAACGCTCCTATCAAGGTAGTATTTGTTAAGTACCAAAACATTTTCCGTAGTAAAAATAGTCTTCATTAAAGAAAGAGAAGCATAAAAATGGATGCATCACCTCTTTATGACCTTTCTATTATTTCCGCCATGCTCACGTAGGATTCAGATTACCTCCTCTCTGCCGAGCCAAGGAAAAACGCCGTATGAACCTTCAGGCGTTGCAAAATTCCCTTCGATATAACACGAATTTCCTGGTAAACTCATGAATATTTGTCCTCCAGTTTTTCAGACAATATTGTTCGCAATTTCACCTAAAGTTCCTATTTCAAGGAAAAATATTCATAACATTCCTCGAAAATAAACATTTTATTGCAGGAAATTTGGCAACTCTCGAATGTTCACACGGCGTACGTTCTTCCTTAGCATGGCAGCCCTGCCGTCGCTAAGGAAGAACGCCGTATGAACATCCGAGAGTTGCCACATTTTCCTGGATAAAACGTGTATTTTTGACAACATTCATGCATATTTTTCCTTGACATTTCCACATGTTTTAGCTTAACTTGCGTCCTACAAAATTATCTGAAATTTTCGGAAAATAATAATCACAATTTTCTCAGTAATTTCGGTTTTTATCGGAGGAAACTTGGCAACGTCTGAAGGCTCATACGACGTTCTTCCTTAGCACGGCAGAGCTCTGAACTCAACTTTAATTTAACAAGTCCAAGTTGAGCTCCGGCGAAGTTCTAAAAGAGGACGGTGCAGATGGGAGCTTTTGTAACGTCGCTGATGATGAAAGTAAAATTTCTGACCCTCCGTCTGACGATCATCAGTTATTATATTCTCGCCATCGCCGTCTATAATTACCGTCAACAAACGCGACCATAAAAAATGAAACGCGGTTCGAGCAAGGGCCCAAGGGCTCTACCGGTCTGGAATACAGATTAGGTGACGCGTGCTCATATTTCCGTGCTCCTTCAAGACGTCAACGTGTGAGAATAGAAATTGAACTTGCTCGCTCTACACGCCTAAAAAGTTGTAGGCTTCATCGTATGCCGACTGTCATCCAACGGACAAAGCTGCCGTGCTAAGGATAAACGGCGTATGAACCTTCAGGCGTTGCCAAATTTTCTATGGTAAATCACGAATTTGCGGGAAAATTTGTGAATATTTTTCCTCCAATTTTTTAGGCAATTTTCTTCGCAATTTCCCCTGAAGTTCCTGAAAAGTTCAAGGAATAATATTCATACCTTTCCTCAAAAGTAAACATTTTATTGAGGGAATTTTGGGAACTCTCGAATGTCCATACTGCCTTTTTCCTTAGCGCGGCAGAATGGGCATGCATTTTCAACGATACTGCAACCTATAGTTTTGTTCTCCTCATCCTCCTGGTTTCATCAAATTCAAAAGACTGGAATGGAGCGGCATTGTTGTATTTATTGATTTGACGATTCCGTTATTTGTAATGATTTTAGATTTTTAGATTTTTTAATATTTTTAAGAATAATTGTGCTCAATACTGGATGGCCTGACAAACAGGGACAGGGCTATGCCCTAGTCGTAACTAGTAAGTTTAAAACTCGAAGACGCTTTACGCGGGGAGGAGGCGTCATGTTGCCTCAACCAACACGGTAGATTTTTTCTTCCGATCATCTTGGGCTCATTGTCAGCGAATTTAGGATATTATGAATTATGCGGCTCGCTCATCCGTATTAATTCCACTCGATTGTTGACCCCGGGCTAATAAAGGCGTGCGACGGGATATCGCGTCATTTCGGGCACCCCGTAGCGTGTATCATTTGAGTACTCTGCCGTACTAAGGCAAAACGCCGTATGAGCATTCCAATGTTGCCAAATTTCCTTTCAGAAAATATCTATTTTTGAAGAAAGTTATGAATTCTTTCTTCTGAAATTTTCAGAATTTTTAGATCAAATTTCGTACAAAATGCTCCGCAAAATCGGAGGAAAAATATTCGCAAATTTTCCTGAAAATCCGATGCTATTCGGAGGAAATTTGACAACGCCTGATGGCTCGTACAGCGTTTTAGCTTCCATAGCACGGCAGTACTGGAGTCCCTGGAGGTATGCTTGGTAGTTGCAATGCAACCTCAAAAAGTCCCGTGTGAAAATCTCTGGAAATTTAACCAAGCTATAACAGCCACCAGAATTTCCCAACACTGTCGATGAGCTCAACGATCAGT